TTGGAAAGAAATAAATATTTAATTAAAGATTACTAGAAATTTGCAAAAATAAAATCAAGTAAAGTTGAAATGCAATCAGACTCGACTTATTCACACTTTTCATGCACGTGAACAGCAACACACAACTGGCGACATGCGCCCACACAGTACACAGAGATATGTCTTCCAGGTAGGTTTGCTTCCATTGGCTATGGCGACTGAGCGCCCAAACAACTCACTTTTCACACTCTGGATCGCCCTGGATGTCCCACACGCAACTCTGTAACCACACGCAACACACACACACACTACTACAGCTGTGGCAGCGCTAGCTGCCACTACTCTAGCGCTATACTACACTCCTCTGCCCACTTCATCTTCGGGCACACTGCAGACCTCCTCGCACTAGCTGCTGAGGCAGTGCTTCCGCATGGCATCCGCAGGAATGAATGAATGGCTGGACGCGGCCTCTTGATTTATACTTCTGCGCTGCGTTGGTCTGCCTTGTGTCCCTTGGCCCTTGGTGCACACAGTCCCAGACGGTACTTGCTGGACAGGACCGGACTGCTTAAGTGGGACTGTTGACTCAGCGAGGTGGCCTACCACCACTTGACCACTTGCCTCTGTTCAACACAGGATCATTCCGAAAGGCCACTTCTCGAACCCTCTGACTTGGCCTTAAGGTACTGTAGCAGCTACAACTTTGCCCCTTCAGGTAAGCAGCAGCTACGACCTTGACCCTTCAGGCATCCTACAGCTACGACTTCGGAACTGTCTAGACTCCTACTCTACAGGTCTACAGTTCGATTCCCTTCTACCCTGTGACCTACGACAATCTACCTACCATTGGCATTCCTACAGGTCACAGGTTCAAATCTACGGGTTGACATCAATATTGTACACAGGTAAGATGGGGAACTAGGGATCGAGCCCTGGGATCTGCATTCGCTACAGCGAACTGGTGAATACCGTTTCACTCCCGCCGGCCTAAATTCGAGGTCCTGCGAGAAAATTTCAGTCCAAGGCAGGACCTTTACCCCTCTGCTGTCTCTCGTAGGCCCGGACTATATCGGGAGCTGTTTCTAGAAGTTCAGATCTTGTAAACCAGCGGTCGTCTTCCGGTTCCTGATAACTAAAATGAACCTTGTACTGTTTCTGTGGATGACCCCTACCTCCAGTTCTGAATACATCTTCAGCCACTATGCCATCGATGTCATACCTTCCATCCATATCGGGCGGTATCATAGATCTACGGGATGGAAACTGATCACTTGTTTGACAACGTAACAACTTCGACGCATGGAAAACTGGGTAAGTATGGAGGTGTGCTGGGAGTTCTATAGTATAGGACGGTCCATCTTCGCCGCCCTTGACTTCCAGAATAGGCTCCGGTCCTCTATATGTGGGCAGTAAYTTCTGCGAGATGTTCTCCTCAGGCGCAAATTCTCTAGTACGGACCCAGACTAAGTCGCCTACTTGAAACTGTGAAGGGCGACGATGTTTTATGCTGGGCTTTCCCGAGGTTCTCTACGACAGTAGCTAGTTCTTTCTCGTGCTGTACAACAAACTCCCTGGTCCCGGGTGGTAATCTGTGAATCTGATCCCGGTTGAGTCCTTCAAATGGTATGCGCGGTCTAAAGGACTTGTGCAGTTCGTTGGGAGTGCGGCAGGTGGACAAATGCACGCTGTTATTATACGCACTAGCTACTTTAGGCAACATCTCGTCCCAGTTAATGGCCTAATGTACATGCACAAAAATTGCTATAGGATCTTGTTCATTTGCTCTGTTTGACCGTTAGTCTTTGGATGACGGTCGGGCGACATCAACAACTTAGTTCCATATACTCCCATTAGTTCTTGCCAGTTCTGGCTAGTAAAGGGACTATCTCTATCGCTAACTATAGACAGTGGGATTCCATTCTCGCTCACCCAACAGTCAAAGAATCTTTGTATGACTAAATCAGTACGTGCTTATGAAGGCAAAGGAACAAAAACTGCGTACTTACTGAAACGGTCAACTACGACCATGACTTGGCTCTTGCCATCCCTCCTCTCGACTTGAGTGTCCATGAAATCTACGGACACTGAGTCTCCCTGCTGATCCGGAATGGGCAAGGGTCTGAGAAGGTCTAACGGGGCACGCGTAGTAGTCTTGTTACGCTGGCAGACTTTACAACTGCGAACATACTCTACGCAGTCATTCTTCATCCCTGGCCAGGTATACGCKCGCATCAGATTGGCTAMAGTCTTCTGCCAACCAAAATGACCCTCTGTGTCGTGGCMTWCTCCCAAAATCAGRCTACGAATTTCTTCGTTACTGGGAATGMACAGGCGGTCAAAGACATTAGTCTTCTCGAAAAGCAACCCTTCGGTAGTGCGGTAGTTCGGCTCAGTCTCTGGGGCCTCTTTGACTTTCTTAAGGAGGTCATTATAGATAGGGTCCTGCGCGTAAGCTTCTCTAACCTTTTGTTGCAGGTCCTGCCCTATATCGAGATAGTGCACTATTGCCCCAAAGTAATCTGCCCTCCTACTCAGAGCGTCCGCAACTACGTTGTACTTCCCTTTGACAGACTTGAGCTCAAAGTCGTACTGATCTATCTCGGCGGCCCACCTAGTAAGCTTAGGTGTCATCTTGGCCTGCATCTTTAACCATCTCAATGTCTCGTGATCCGAGTAGACTTTGAAGTGCCTCCCAAGTGTTTTAAGGCTTGCCTGAGAGCGTAGAGTTCCCTCTCATAGGTGGATGTCGCGACCTTCTTTGAAGGCATCCTGGCAGACATGAACTCTATGGGTCTATACCCATTGCCATCGTCTTGCTGCAGCACCTCGCCTATGCCGTATTGACTCGCATCGGTCGTGACGACGAAAGGCAAGGATGGATCGGCGACTTTAAGGACTGGATACTCTATCAATGCCTGCTTTAACTTTTTCATGGCAGACGTACAATCCTTATCCCACTTCTAGATGGTCTCCTTTCTTAGCAATCTGCGAAGGGGCGCATCGATGGTAGAGAAGTTCCTCACGAACTTCCTATAGTAATTAGCTAAGCCCAGGAACGAGCGCAACTCTGTCAGCGTACGTGGCGTGGGTCAATCTCTAATCGCTGCGATCTTGCTATCCTCTGGCTTGACGCCGTTCCCGTCTAAGACGTGGCCTAAATACAAAACTTGGGTCTTTGCCCAATCGCACTTCTTTACATTGATCTTGAAGTTAGCTCCCTCATCTTTTCCAAGACCTGCCTGAGATGACCCTGATGCTCGTCGAGGGTCTTACTAAACACTAGAATGTCATCTAGGTACACTACGACAAATCTATCTAACCATGGCCTAAACAAATCGTTCATACAACGCTGGAACGTAGCTGGCGCATTGGTTAGTCCAAAGGGCATCACTATAAACTCATAATGCCCGTACCTAGTCCGGAAGGCTGTCTTATATTGATCATGAGGATGTACCTCTATCTGATGATATCCGGATTTTAAATCTATCTTAGAGAAATACTTGGCCCCCTGCACTCAATATAAGAGATCGTCTATCATCGGCAGTGGCTCCACATTCTTCACTGTAATAGCATTCAGACCCCTATAGTCTTTGCACATTCTCAGTTTTCCCTCTTTCTTAGGAACAAAGAGGACAGGCGCTCCGAAAGGAGACGAACTGGGCCTAATCCAACCCTTCTCGAGGAGCTCGTCTAATTGCTTGCGAAGCTCCTCTAACTCCCGTGGGGACATCCTATACACAGCACCCTTAGGAGTTCTACTGCCAGGCTCTATCTCCATACGGTGCTGGATGGGCCGTGGCACCATTCCTGTCGGCGGCTCAGTTAAATCCTTAAACTCCTACAGCAGCTTGGCAATTGCAGGGTCCATCGGCTTTTCTTCCGTAGGCTCGGTCACCGGCCTAACATAGGCAGCAAAGACCTGTTCCTCCAGTTTTTCCTTTTTTACTAATCTGGCGAATGCAGATGCACTAAGGCAGCAATGTGCCAATGGATTCTCTACTCCTGACACGTGGAACAGGCGGGCAGTCTTAGCCTCGCCTGAAAGACTAGGGAGCCTACACTCGTGCTCCTTCAAATGGAGCGTGGCCCCGGCTGCCTCTCCCCAATCCATTCCCAGAACAATATCAAACGGGAGGCTGTCTTCTACGAGGAGAGTCAGGGAGTGGAGGACCTTCTCCACTTTYCCATTTTTCTCTAGGCGGAAATACGCCTGGACTCCCTCTATGTAATCCTCTACAACCATGGTACGATTGTCCGCGAGGATACTAACTATGGGGTCTGTCAGTTTTTGGACTTAAAGTCCCAGCCTCAATTTCTGCAGTGCTTTCTTACTAATATAGCTGCGGGTGGCCCCTGAGTCTACTAGGGCCCCTACTCTACCTCTAAAAATCTTTGTATCTAGTAAGATCAGCTTCCCTTTATTCTCCTTTTCATCTTGGCCCAGGCGGGCCTCCTCTCCTTCAACTCTTCGGCCACGCCTGTGAGGGAGGTGTCTAGAGAGACTCTAACACAAGCAGTCTCTCGGCAGCTATCTAGACACCGGCCTGCGACCTCTGCCATAGGCACATGTGGTGTGGGAGTCTCCTGCCGGCTAGCGCTATGTTCTCCACATGGACTGATGGTAGGGGCAGTTGCTACCCCTACCGGCGGCTGCCTTTTGGCCTTTGGGCAGCCGTTCGGGTCTCTCGGTACTTAGGACAGTATTTAATGATATGGCCCGGGTCACCGCAGAAAATGCACTGGCCCCGGTCCAATCGTTGTTGCCATAAAGTCTGGTCCAGACCCAAAGTTTCCCAGGGCCTACCCTGCGGTAGCCCCGGGTGCCATCCTCCTACCCTATAGGGACGGCTTTGCGGGGGACCTTGACCCCTGCCTCCCGCTTTGCGGTTTCCTCCTCTGCTGCCAACCCCTTGATCGACCTGAAACCGACTCCCTGAGGCCCGGCCCCCTTGGCCCTGGCCTCGTCCTCCTTGTGGCCTCCCTCAAGCCGCGACAGCAGCGCAAGTCCTCCCCTGGCCCACACCGCTGTCCTCCTCCTCTAACCCCCACTCGATTTGTTCGTAGGGGATCTCATCCACACCACCCTCGTCTAAGGTCAGGACAAGGCTGTCCTTGGTCTTTACCTGCCCTGAGATAGTGCGTCCTTTCCATTGCTTTCCTCTGTCTAAGTCCTTGTGCCAAAAGGTAGACAGGGACACAGACTTCGCTTCAAAAGCCACCAGCTCACGGCTAAGGGAATCGTAAGTGGTGGCAGGATCTTCGCTCTTCGCGAAGAACTGCCCTCGAAAGGCTTCGGGCATAGCCCGATAGAAGAGATTGACCAATTGGGCCTCTGTGATCCCATGGTCAGGGACGGCCACCAATTCATCCATCGTACCCTTGAGCGCCCTGACACTCTTCCATTTACGAGCGTGGATGGTCTGGAGCTTGTCTGAGGCCTTAACACTACGAGCGACATCAGCAAATCGCTCGCGGAGCAACTTCAGGAATTCGGTGAGGGACGTAAACGAGGAGTACGCAACGGGATCGTCACTACAGTTGGCAGCGCGAACTAGGGACCTTGCAAAACAGGCGGCCTCATCTCTCAGCGCGTGGATCGCAATCAAGACCTGCTGATCCGGGAAGACCTGTTGCAAGTGCACATAGGTCTTAACGTTAGCTTCCCAATTGTCAAAGTTCTCTTCCCTTTTTCCACTATAGGAATCAGGGAATTTGACCTTGACCGGTTCCCGGCGAGGAGGACGTGCTTCCTCCTCCTTGGGGGATGCCGCCTTGACGCCCTCAATGGCGCCAGCACAGAACCGCTCGGTCTTGTCGAGGCGGTGACCCACCTCGGCTCCAACAACGCCTACCAACTCATGGGCGAAGTCCCGAAAGCCCAACTTTATTGACAGCACAGCTGTGTTGACTCCTGCTAAAGTCATATTGCTCCGCCTCAATTCGTGCCAGGCGTGCAACGTTTCGACCTATGACTCGCATTTGAGCTGGGATTTCGGTCTGGGCGGCTAGTTGCTCTTCTATCTTTTTTACTTCCTCTAATTCTTTTGCCGCCTCCACTGCCTTGTGAACTCTTCTCTTCTTCTCCCTCATCACTGCTAGTTTTCACTCCATCCTCTTCTCGTCTTCCAATGCCTGTCGTCTGAGGGGATCTTTCTCCGCATCCCAAGCCTTCATGGCAGCCTCTTGCTCATCTTGTGGGATGTACATGCTAACTTCCTCTTCTCCCACAGACAGGTTGGCAACCCATTCGGATATCCTCTTCTCCAGTTCCCCATCGTTGCTGCCACTGTGCTGCCCACTCCTCCTTTGCAGTGGTGGACCTTCCTCCTCTTCCTCGTCCACCTCTTTCAACTTCGCCTCCTCTTCCTTCTTTATTCTTCTCTTTAGCCATCTATTCTATCTTCTTCAATTTGGCCGCCTGCTCCTCCTTCAAGGCCTTCTTCTTGGCCTCCTCCTCCTTCCTCTCCTGCAGAATGGCGGCCATCTTCTCCTCCTCTTCCTTTGAATATGGCTTGGTGGAAGTACCACCCCGGGTATCTACTCTACACGTCATCGCGTGCCAGAACCCCGGAGGAAAGAGGAGGCACCAGAGGGTCCCCCAGAGAGAGAACCCAACCAGCAACCCATACATCGGATAGTCGTCCATCGTGGTGGTAGGTGCACGACAAGAGTCCCACTCCTTACCACTTGGACCTACCCGGACACAGACCTACTGACTGACTTTCTAAAGACCACTAGCTGTCACTACAGAACCAGCAGGTGATCAGGAGGTATTTAAGGAGATCCCCCAAACTCCGCAGGAATTCTTTAACGTCGCAACAGGACGACGCGATCAGCTTGGCTCCTCTGGCGATTTCAGCCCACAACTCAGCCCGTCCAGCCTCCTGCGCCACACCGAGAAGCCCGCCGGTCGGTACCGGTCCTTGGAGGGGTTCGTGTCCCTCGGGTCAGTCGAGTCGTCAGACACGGATCATCAGCCTTCTGGGTCCGGTAGGGGAGTGGCTCAACCAGGCCTCAACACTTAAAGACGGCCTTCGTTTCAGCCTACAACTCGGAGTTCAGACCCTCTATGCTGAACTCAGTAGACCTGCCGGACAGTACCGGTCATTGGGCTAGACGAGTTGTTTAACGAGCGCTCGCCGCTCATGCCCAGGTCTCCAAATGCCAGAGTAGAGCTTTGGTCCTACTAAGCCCGTGCAGGTTTGGCAGCAAGGCCCTATCCTTCATCCACAGAGTCCTAACACCTAGGACAGAAGAGACTCAATGCAGAAAGAGTAGACAGACAGACTCAGCAAGTACCGTGGGGTAAGTGCACATCCACAGGGTAAGGGGATAGGCTAAGGGCTCAGCGAGATATCACCAACTCTAGCTTGGTCAAAATCTTGGTCAGCAGCTCCGGTCAACGCCTTGGTCAATGCTGAGTCTACGTGGACAACCCCGAGTCAATGCTTGGTTAACCACCTTGGTCAACGCCTAGTCAACCCTCTGGTCAACGGTATGGTCAACTCCCGGTCAATCCCTCACCTCGGCTATGGCTGCCGGCACCTTCACCTTCGTCATCCTCGCCGTCTACTTCCCCTTCCTTCACTTTCTTTCTTCTTCTCTATCTTTTTTTTTTTTTTTTTTTTTTTTTTCCCCCTCGGTTATGTTTGTCTTCTTCTTCAATCTCCTTCTTCCACACTTCTTCTTCTCTCTCCTTAGTCCCTCCTTCTCTGTCCTCCCTTTCTCTCTCCTCCGATACTCTATGTTGATGCTCCGCGGCTATGGCCGCTGCCTTCCTTCTCCATCGGACTCCGCAATCTCGCCTTACAGGTAAGTGACAACCAATCTTGGATCGCTCATCTCTCTCTCTCTCTCTCTCTCTCTCTCTCTCTCTCTCTCTCTCTCTCTCTCTCTCTCTCTCTCCGTAGCGGTATCTTCAGCGCAGCAGGTAAGTAACCAATTTTGTATCGCTCATCTCTCTCTCTCTCTCTCTCTCCCTCTCTCTCTCTCTCTCTCTCTCTCTCTCTCTCTCTCAATCTTCCTCTTCGTCGTGTTCCTCTTGATGCAGGTGCGCAACGGCTTCTTCCACCAAAGGTCCGCTATGGCGGACTATCTCCTCCAGCGACCACCTCAGTTATGGCGCCTCAGCCTGCACACGACGGCGCGTGGAACAGCGGGTACCTGCTCCGATACCAGTGCAATCAGACTCGACTTGTTCACACTTTTCATGCACATGAACAATGGCACACAACTGGCGACATGCGCCCACACAGTACACAAAGATATGTCTTCCACGTAGGCTCGCTTCCACTGGCTATGGCGACTGAGCGCCCAAACAACTCACTGTTCACACTCTGGATCACCTTGGATGTCCCACACGCAACACACACACACACTACTACAGCTGTGGCAGCGTTAGCTGCCACTACCCTAGCGCTATACTACACTCCTCTGCCCACTTCGTCTTCGGGCACACTGCAGACCTCCTCGCACAAGCTGCTGAGGCAACGCTTTCGCATGGCATCCGCAGGAATGAATGAATGGCTGGACGCGGCCTCTTGATTTATACTTCTGCGCTGCGTTGGTCTGCCCTGTGTCCATTGGCCCTTGGTGCACACAGTCGCAGACGGTACTTGGTGGACAGGACCGGACTGCTTAACTGGGACTGTTGACTCAGCGAGGTGGCCTACCACCACTTGACCACTTGCCTCTGTTCAACACAGGATCATTCCGAAAGGCCACTTCTCGAAACCTCTATCTTGGCCTTTCGGTACTGTAGCAGCTACGACTTTGCCCCTTCATGTAAGCAACAGCTACGACCTTGACCCTTCAGGCATCCTACAGCTACGACTTCGGAACTGTCTAGACTCCTACTCTAGAGGTCTACAGTTCGATTCCCTTCTACCCTGTGACCTACGACAATCTACCTACCACTGGCGTTMCTRCAGGTCGCAGGTTCAAATCTACGGGTTGACATCAATACTGTACACAGGTAAGATGGGGAACTAGGGATCGAGCCCTGGGATCTGCATTCGCTACTGCGAACTGGTGAATACCGTTTCAGAAATGAAAATTAAACATTTAATCATAATATAATTAAATAATTCTATGAAATTTAATCGGGAGATTTCAGTATCATTTCGCGATCATGACGTAAGTATCAGATTAATGGTAGTTAAAATATACACAATTTGCTTCAAAGATTCAGGCTTTGATTGCGAAAAGATGCAATTGGCAAGAAGTACAAGTTTCGTGAAGTTGCAGTTTGAAGGTGGTCGTGCTCACGCCCGATCTGCCCTAGTTAGGCTTGGTGCCTGGCTGGCGCTACTATTCGTTGGAGATATAGGTTGTTATATATAGATTTAGGTTAGTCAAATTTGAGCCTATTAAGGTTAATCGAGTTTTCGCGAATTACCCCGATTACGCAAATTCGAAGATGGCCGAAACCTGACTTGATCAGCAACGAAAAGAAGGAAACTTAGAAAACTTTTGCAACTTGCGAATAATGATAAGAGAGTAGAGGTGAAAACAATCAATCAATCAATCAATTGGCTAATCAAGCGTTGGTCGAGCAGCTTGATTCATCAATCGATCGATTGATGATGAGTCATCCAATGCTGGTCTGCTCCGATACCGAACTGTTGCATACTCGTGAACACAGACATAAGTATGGCGCAGATCCCCAGAACCGGCTAGATAATACAGAGCAATTACAATTCCAGCGGAAGACTTGATACACATGGATTGACTCAGATCTGACTCAGGCCGCAACAAATCCTTCACAAACATGCATCGGTGGTGTGAAAGCCTTAGCCTTGGACATGGAAGAAAGGGCCAGGGTCTGATCTCATCCACAGAGGAGGAGAGACGGACGAGAGGGAAGATGACGTCAACTCAATGTCTCCAAAAATAGTATCTCGAAATGTCATAATCGACCTACGGGTCTGAACCGACGTGACCCCTGACCCTAGGCCTGAACTAAGCCTAACTACGGAGCCGGGCCCTAACTGGGGCCCCTGTGGTGTTAGAATGCCACATCCCCTTTGCAGTTACGTTTTCAACTGTGCATATTCTCATCTGAGTAATTTCGAGTATAAATTTTTTAATTTCGGGAAATTTTTACTCGTCGGGAAAAAAACAAAAAATATTGTTTCTCGCAGTTCTATTATTTTTACCAGCTAAGTGCCCGCGGTGCGGGCTATGCCTGCAAAAATAAGAAATGTTAAAAAAAAACAATTTACAAGGTAATAAAGGCCCCAAACTGGCTACTAAGTTCGAGTTAAACTGACGAATTAAAAAAGTGACAAATTGAAGAAAAAAAAAAGTAGGAGAAAGGGCGAGAGGAGAGAGAGGCAGACAAAGAGAAACAAAGAGAGAGAGAGAGAGAGAGAGAGAGAGAGAGAGAGAGAGAGAGAGAGGAGCAACTTGAGAGCAAAGAATAGAGAAAGACCAACACGAGTATACAAAGAAAAAAAGTTTAATATGAAGATTTATCGTTCCGTTAAAGTCAGCAAGTGCCCGCAGTATGATCAAGACACAATTATTGCGTAATGGAATCCACCTTGACTTGAAAAAACACAATGGAAGTAGTCCGTAGGACTCATTCTCCTCACCTCAGCACGAGGCCCAGATCTGAGAAGTAGGCGTTGGCGCCACCGCAACAACATTGCACCACCCCCATAAATGGGTTTATGTGGCGTGCCACACCTCACCCCAGCCAGCCTCAAAGGTTGTGGTTCCAAGAAGAGCCATTCCTAGAATTGAGGTTTGGCAAACCATTGATGGCCTCACCTTTCTTCTCCTCTTTTGCTTGGGCGACTTTGATGAGATGGGAGCAAAGGGTATCAATGAAACACCCGCGGACGCGTCCGCGGGGTCGAGCTCGGAGGGCGTCCGTATATACGGCCGTGTCCGCGGACGTCAATTTGCCACATTTTTAAGGGGTTGTAGGGATTTTTAATAATCCCTA